TTTTTTTTTTTTTTTTTTTTTTTTTTTTTTTTGGCTTTTAAATCTACATTAAATCTTTAGATAAATTAAAATAAAAGAAAGAGAAGAGCTTACTTTTTTACTTCAGTTTAGAACTTTTTTTTTTTGCACGTTTAATATTTTAAAAATTAAATGTATTTCTTGGCTATTGAAAGTTCCAAAAACAAAAATTTGTTTAAACGATCAACTTAAAAACCTAAACTGATAAGGGAAGTTGAGTAACAGTTGATAAAAGTGCATTTAGAAGGCTGCTATAGAGCACTTATACATCTCTGATTAATGATACTGTTGCGCTAAAATTTCACCACAAAATTAAAAAATGCTGCATATATATAGTAGCAAGAATTGCTGATGATGATGATGATGGCGATAATGATAGAGAAAACTTTTGATTAGCTGAATACAGTAAAGAGGAATACTGTTAACAACAGTACATTATGAATCGTAGTTTATAACAACAGACTATAGGTTTAACGAGAAAAAAAAAAAAAAGATTTGCTGTTATAACTATAAAAACCTTTCAAAGGCAAAACGAAAGAAGATGATGGTCAATAAGTGAAAAATGTAAAAATTCAAAAATTTGAAATGAAAAAAAAAAAACGTGTTGGTCACGATTCTTAGAAGATTTTTGAACACTGAACGAAGAGGGAAATGGTAATAACATTAGATGTCAAAATAAAGTTAGCTGATTTATGTCGTATTTGATTTGTATGTAACTTAGCAAAGAAAGTGACAAAAAAAAACAAATATATTTTTTTTTTTAGACTCAAATATTACTTCTCCTTTTTTCTTTTCTTAACAATCAAAAAAAATAATGTGATAATTATTTTGTTTCTGAACAAATGCAATTTTCTGTCTTTGCTGTTCATCTTACTGCTCCAATATTTCATCAAAAAAAAAAAGTCAAGCAAAAGATAGAAATTTGAAACAGTAGTTGCCGGTATTATTCTTAGCTGCTACAAATCACTGTTGCCGATCGATGTTAATAGGTGCTGAATTAAACTTCAATAAGTCATCTGTTTTGAAGAGAAAAAAAAAAAGTACAGAAACTTAATGACAAGGAAAAGATGAAAAAAACAGTGTGATTAAAAAGAAGATTAATCTTGGGTCTTTTTTTTTTTTTTTTGTTTTTACTGTTGTTCTTTTTTTTTCATTACTTAATTAGCAATTCTTTTTCTTTTTTCTTTTCACTATTTCCCGAATAATTTGTACACAAACGGATAAGTGGTTGTGTAATGTTCGAAATTTTTTCAACCAATGTTGTTCAGAAACCACCAATCATAAGTTATACACTGTGACAATATTTGGGTGGTCACTTATGGAGTTGACAAACCGCTAATGGTTAATACTGCTTACAATAGTGGCATTGATAATAATGATAGGTTAAAAAGTTATTAACAAATATTTGTTATTGCAATAGTAACTTTAAAAAAAATTATTTTTTTTGCTTAAACTTAAATTGTTTCTATTGAGGCGTTAGAATGATGCAAAAAGATGTGTCAAATGTTTGATGAGACAAAAAAAGCTGATAGTTTTTAAAAAAAGGGCAAAGGTCAAAAGATGATCTTCAAATTGATACTGCAGTTAACTGCAGCTGAGTTAACCAAATGTCTTTAGCAACACAATTACTGTTGGTAGTTTTTTTGAAGAACAGATGTATTTTTGCCAAAAACTCTTTTAGTTTTAATGCTTCAAAAAGAAGGCAAAAAAACTGTTTCTAGTTTTTTTGTGTTGTTTAGATAACAACTTAGAAAAAAAATATTTTTCAAATCAATTGTAATAAAAAAGAATTTTGTTTTTTCTCTAACCAATATTTATATATTTTTCATATTCTCATTTTGTAAACAA